AGCTTCAAAATTTGGAGACCATAAAGAAGGATGAGGCATGGCCCCACTCCCTAGGTTTTCACACTCTCGTTGAAGAGAAGGACTGACATCTAATTATAATAGGACAGATTATATACACTATAATTTACTATTTTTTAAGTTGCTCTGCTGATGTAATTTATTTCCAACTGTTTATTCAATTGACATCATGTGAAACTGGCAAATACTTCTTTTTCCACTTAAATATTTTTATTGTCTTTAATAGAAAATAAAGAAATAGAAAATCAATGTTTGTTTATCTGACTACACTATTAATGATTTCTAGATCCGTTTCTCCCAGAAACATTTTGCCAGTTTTCCTGCAGTCCAGAACCCTACTGATAGTATAAGAATTGGTACACTTTGTGATTTTTAAAGTAATTTAACTACTTAGAATAGTGGGTGGTGGTCACTCTGTGTCTCATCATCCCTGTGAAATAGTTATGTTCTCAGCAGAGGTTAAAAGACTGACACCTGATATTTCATATCTGCAAAGAGGTGCTTCCTCATTAAAATTTGACTTTTAAAAACTTTTTAAAACAAATTTTTTAAATGTTTATTTCTGAGAAAGAGAGAGAGAGTGAGCAAGAGAGAGAGAGAGGAGGGGAGGGGCAGAGAGAGAGGGAGACACAGAATCAGAAGGAGGCTCCAGGTCCTGAGCTTTCAGCACAGAATGCGACACGGGGCTTGAACTTGTGAACTGCCAGATCATGACCTGAGCCAAAGTTGGACACCCAACCGATTGAACCACCCAGGCACTCCAAAATTTAAAACATTTTGAGTATCACTTCATTTAGTGTCATTTTTGCTGTATCTACAAACTATATTTTCTTTTGGAACTACTATATACTGTATACTTGTGGAACAGTTGACAAACAGTCAGTACATTTTATAATTTTAAGTTTATAGTTACAGGCAAGATACAACCTCATAGCCTCCTCTTTGTCTTTATCTGCATTGAGCCTATATTCCTGGAAGCCACAGGCATAGACTTCTCCAAAGCCAGTGGTTTCTCGTTCAAAAATAAACTCAAGAAGTAATCTAATTTTATATAATGGAAATCTTCTTCATAGCTGTAGTCATTCATAGGCAAAAATATACTTTAACTCTAGGGAAAGGCAAGCAGCAAGCCCACCTAGATCTTTGCAGTGGCCTTGCTATAACACACTGGTTTCACTCTATTCGCAGGGCACCTTTTTAAATTTCAGAGTAGAGGGACTTCAGTGAGTACATCTAGAATATACTCACGAGTAACTTGTCAGAAGAGAATATGGGCCAAGTTTGTATTCAGTTCTCACAATATTAAAAAAACAAAAACAAAAACGGGGGCTATGGGTTATATGGCAGTGTTTCTAAACTGATTATCCCAAACAGAGACTCAGCTTGATGCCAATTCTTTACATGAACTGCCAGACTAAACAAGTACCTTTTGAGGTTCATCCATCACAATTTATGATACATTAAGCTAAATCTAATGTTCTCTCAGGCTGGTGTTAGGGGATTTTCAATAGTCAGACTAAGAAATTGCATTTGGGGAAAGGGATTTCTCCTTTCTTTTTCCGTAGAATTTCTTTAGTTCTTTAGAGTCTTGTTATGTCTGTTGGATCCTTGTTATACTTTGGTACTAATCGCAGATTGATTTTAAGCATTTAAATCTTAACTGGTTAGCAGGAAATGACTTTAAATTAACATTGCATGAGCTACCGTAAATTGTTCACTGAAAAAGAGAGTGTTTAATTATAAATGAAGGAACCTGCTTCCCAGTTGATTAACTATATTAAACACTTTATATTTTCAAAGCTCTACACTATTGCTAATAAGCTATTTCTCACAATGAGTCTCAGAGGAAGCCTACTACTATCACCTCCTATTTTTATAAATGATGCAATTGACCCATAAAAATTAGATTGCCCATATTGGACTACATATAAATGAAAAGCTAGAATTAGGTTTCAAGATCTTAATGTACCTGTGCCTAGTTTACAGAGGCATGCTTTTAGTTTTCTGAGGAGCTAAGATTAGAAAATCAAATAAATTTAACTGGCCACTGGTCCAAGAGATGTTTGTGCGTGGATTCCCACACATGCACGCACGCACATACACATTATTTCTTTTCCCTTAGAACATTTCTGTTCTGTGTGCAAAACTAGGTATTTTGTTATGAGGTAACATAAGACAAACTCAATGAGATGGCTCTCCAGTCAAATGATCCATGCTACTTATTCTGATATTCCTTAACTTTAGCTCACTTGCCAGACTGACTTGTCCCTCTTTTCCTTTTTAGAATCTGTCATTCAGAAGACTAATGTGATTGACATTGGTCAAGTCACAGAGTGGCCTGATACTGAGAACAACAAATATTTGTGGCAATGAGTTCATTTTAAAAGCCCACTTGATTATTTTGCTTTTTATCAAAAAATACAGTTGCAAACCATATTGAATTTTTTAATTAATTGATTATTAGAGTTAAAATCTTTAATATTTTTAATACTTCAGATTTGAAGTATTTTCCATGAATAAAACAGTTTGGAACACATACTATAAATATTTTATGGTTTTTAAAAAATCAGTGGCTTTGAATTGTTTTGTTGTTTAAATCTAACTAATCTGATGAACTTGCAGCTCTGTCAGTGGTGGTATCCATTTACTATGTCACTAGGCAGAGAGCAGACCTAACAGTAACTGCCTAGTAAATAAATATTAATCACCAAAACATCAGAAGTTTTTGTTGTGTTTATATATGGCCACCCTAATAATTTTGGAATGAAATTTATTCTCAATGTAAGTCCATATGAAGCTATTAATAAATTAATATATACATTTAAACTTTTAAAATTAAGAATTGTCTGTTTAAAAATTTTATTTAGGTTTATCATTTTTTTCTGTAGAAACAGAATCAGGAAAATTCTTACCAAATGAAAGTAAACTCATTTAAATATTATGGTGCTGACAAAAGTAAATGCTCCTTGACATACTAATTTTTGGGGACTCTTAAAAAAAGAAAAACTATTGTAGGGTACAATTTACTTTGTGCTATAGAACTTTAATTATATTTGAAATATATGTGCACAAGTTATATACCAAATATAGGCATTTTCAGCACATTTTTCTTTCTAGCCACAAAGTTGTATTTCAGTGCCTGTTAAAATATAATTGTATACACACACACACACACACACACACACACACACACACTGGGTAATAGAATGACATAATTTCTCTTAATTTCATCCTACAGTCATATACTGATAAAGACATTGTTACCAATAAATAAATGATTGTTAGCATTTTATTTGTGGAAAAATGTAACAAACAACGGTATGAGAATGTGATTTAAATATTTGTTTTTTGGTGTTTTCATTAAGAATGAAGATTTGTGCCTTTTCTGAACAATATTTTAAAGGATACTCTGAGATTCAGATTTCTTCAAAGTTATAACATTTAATATCTATGTAGAGTGTGGTTTTTCTAGACAGGAGTATCCTAAGTGTCAGGTGGATAAATTGGACTATAATCTATGAGTACAAAATATGCTGTACCAGTACATGAGGGTAAGGATTATGTCTGCTTTGTTCATCTCATGTAATAAGAGCCTCATCTAGCACCTAGTTCTGAAAAGGAGCCCTATAAATTTTTCTTGAATAAAAAGAAATATATAAACATTGCTTTTGATATTCATTTATCTCTCCTCACTCAGTTGCAAACAAAAAACCAGATGAAAATATATGGGGCTGACTAGTAAATAAAATTAAAAGCAATTTTTTTTTAATTTCTAGTGCATTCTTATATAGTTCTAAGATTTCCATGGTATTTTCTTGCTTTTATGGGATGAACTAAGAAAAATCAGGTTAAACTCAAGAAAGGTCACCCACAATGCAATGAGAAGGCCTCCATTATCTGCAGGTCTTTTAAATTCACATCATTTTTGCCAGTGTCATTTATATATGGTTAATGGTAAAAGTGAACAGACAATATTTTATTCTGATTATTAATGTTTCAGTGCATATGCCACATTTTATCATATAGGGGTATTAAATGATGTTAAGGGGGAGGGAAATGAGTAGGATGTTAGTAAAGAGAAGAATGTATGTCTGTGAATCACTGCCATAAATAAATGTGCAAACCCTATTCTATATTGAGTCCCATGGTATCATTCAAAGTTTAGAACTGGGGCCCTTGGGAGGCCAGTAGATGCTCCCCCAAAAGTCTCTGGTAGTTATCACTGCTGACACATGTTAAGAGAACAGTACTGCCCTTAGACCCAGAAAGCACTGCTGTTAGGATACAAACACAGCATGTTTTCCAAACCATCTGCCAAGAGGTTCTTCTGGCCATCTGCATGAGCCAGCACACAGATTCAACTGGAAACATCTATGTATGGTGAAATAGAACAGTCATAGCAAATGTGTTTTTTTTTTAATTCTCTTCAGTGCAGGTTATTTAAATATATGAAAATGCCTTATGAATATGAACTGACTCAATTCTTACCAAACTAGTTTTGGTCAGCATGTAGATAAAATCTTAGAAGAATTTTCTTTAATCTGACATTTGTGCAACATTCTCTGTGAAATTGCACCATAATTAAAGGGTGGCACAGGTATTGAATTGGGCTTATGATCCATATTGTTATTTTTAAGTCTAATACCTAAATGATTTTATACAAAACAAGTTACATCGTGTGTTCAAAATTCATTGGCAATAATTTTTAAGTATCATATATAGATAAAGCATCTTTTATATCACTGGAAAATATTATCCAATTTATAAAAATCAGTGTTTAGAATCGCTAAGTGACTTAGATCTTCAGCCTGTTTCCAGGTTTCCTAAATGAGGTTTTTGACATGCACACAACAAAGAAACATATATACACTTTATTTTATTTTGTTTTACTTTATTTCAGCCCAGAGATGATTACCTAGAGTGAATGAATCCTTAATATTATGGAAGTAACACTAACTACTTATGGAATTTTTATGTTTTAGCATTAAAAAAAGGACGATTTTGGATCACACCAGATCCTTATCACAAAGATGACAACATCCAGATTGGGCGTGAGGTGAAAATATCTTGCCAAGTAGAAGCTGTTCCTTCTGAGGAGTTAACATTTAGTTGGTTTAAAAATGGTCGTCCATTGAGAAGTTCTGAGCGGATGGTTATTACACAGACTGATCCGGATGTCTCCCCGGGAACGACAAACTTGGACATCATTGATTTAAAATTCACGGATTTTGGGACATACACATGTGTAGCATCTCTGAAGGGAGGAGGAATATCTGATATCAGTATTGATGTTAATATATCCAGCAGCACAGGTAAGAAGCATATTTGTGATGCAAAAGATGTTTGCATTGAAAATCATTTCTTTATGTTTAGCAGACAAAATAGTCTTCAGTCAAGCTAAGAACATTCTTATTTCCGTTTCCTAAAACCACAGTCCTAACATTCTGAATGTCTAATAAATATCGCGTTAAAAGACATTGTTACTTCTGTTTTGATTTAGGTTTATAGGAGGTTTTACAGAAGTAGTGTGAGTAACAGTAATAGCATTGGCTATGATAGACATAGGCTTCCAGATTAAATAGTAACAGGTGTTTTGTTTTTTTTTTTTAAGTTAGCTAAGAGCCCTCTGTAGAGCCTAAAATTATATTAATTAATAAAGTTAACAAATTCCTAAAGAGTTAAGGCAAATTTTGGAAATTTTAAACAAAATATTTAGTCCTAAGAAGCAAATACTAAGAGATCATTTGAAAGTATTCAAATACAAGATTCAAATACAAGATTCAACATGGAAATGCATTTTCCACCAATTCAAACCAATGATAAAAGTGTTTAACTTGTAATCCGATGTGACTTTTTGAAGAACATTACGATAGAATCTCTTCACAGTGGGAACGATTAAATATAAAAATATACTGGAGTGAAATTCCTTCTTTTAAAGTTAAAAATGAAAGTGTTATCAATTTTCTCTCGACTAAACATGCATCTGTAGATGAGGTAAATTATAGGACTTTGGTATGGGAGGACATGCTAGCTTACCTCTTAGGATGTTTTTAAAAAGCCTTGTGATTCTGTGAACTGCAATCAGTATGCATGGGGACGACACCAACGTAGCTTTGTTTTGCCAGCTTGTTACCAGACTGAATTTCAATTTAGGATTTTTGTATAATTCTAGGGTGAATAATACGTGTTGAAAACATAGAGCACAGATGTCGCCAGCAGACATACTCTGTTTTGAGAACATTTAAACGGCTTTTCCTTTCCAGTCAGGCGGCATTTTGACTCTTGTGTGGTAACAGATTGACTTGTGATTTTGTGTCTTCTCATGATTTAAATTCCGGTGGACACTGGATTGATTTTACTCCTTAAGGGACATAGGTCCATCTTCAGGCTGACCACATGTGCTTACTTTTCACCATTCCGCATTATTTCTAAGAGATATTTCATTTTTATCAGCCACGGTTAATGTGAAAGGAGGTTAGAGGGATGAAAGTTACTTGTGTTTGGCAAGAAGTCACTTTCTAGGCAAAATGATAATAATAGCTATCTTGATAGTAACTATTATCTGAACTTTATTTCCAAGTTGCTGCTAGCACCATTTTAGGATATCTCATAGAAAGCTGTTGATATGCTTAGTCATCATTGTTTATGTTTTCATTCAGTCAACAGACATCCATTGATTGCCTACATCAGTGTGCTAGGTGACATCCCACAATGTTATTTCCTGTAAGAGTGAGAACAATTTTGTAAGACCCAGAATTATCTGTCCTTATTTTTGAGGGGCGATTTTCCAGAATTGGTCTACACTAAATTGTGAACAATGCTTTTTTTGTTTGCTTGTTTGTGTGGTTTTGTTTGCTTCTTGTTTTTTTTTTTTTTTTTCCGGAACCAGTGACATAAACCCAGATCCAAACAATCAATACTGCTATCGAAACAGACTTGTCTGATGGTAGCATAGTTCATTCAACATTAAACTTAGACAAAAGAGGGAACGTAGAATGGACAGAAGAAAGGAGTATTATATAATATCTACAAAATTAGTTCTGACATTCATTTTCTTTGTCTCTTTTTTTTATGTTTATTTATTTTTGAGAGAGAGAGAGTGTGTGTGCCTGAGTGAGTAAGCAGGGGAGGGGCAGAGAGAGAATGAGAGAGAGAGAACCCCAAGCAGAGAGAGAGAGAGAGAGAGAGAGAGAGAGAGAGAGAGGGAAGGAGAGACAGTACCACGCAGGCTACACACTGTCAGTGCAGAGCCTGATGCAGGGCTTGAACCTATAAATTGTCCAATCGTGACCTGAGCCAAAATCAAGAGTCAGATGCTTAACTGACTGAACCACCCTGGTGGCTCCTGACACTCATTTTCAAATATACTACTTATATTACCCATTTCAAACTATGGGCTATAAGAGAAAAGGAGAAGAGGTAACTAGCATTGATTCATGAAATTTCTAAAAATCCTAAGTGAAAAGAAATGTCAGAAAAGCAGAAAATATTCTAGAAATGCCTCTTAGTAATAAAAGTTTAGTTACAATAAGTAAAATTTCTTAAACTGTTATCATCTGATCTGGTTACCAAATGTAACAATGCTAGAGATAAAAGGAGATATATTAAGTCCTCTTTTAAAACACTCCCCTTTGCTGTCCCCCACCCATCACAGACAGACCTGGTTATTGTCTGTCTCCTCCTTAGAGTGGAAGCTCCATGTAGTCTAGGCCTTTGTCTGTACTGCTTGTTATTATAATATCAGCATCTGGAGCAATACATAGTACTTCGTAGGTACTCAAAAAGTAATTTTATTTATTATTTATTTATTTATTTATTTATTTATTTACTTATTTGTTTACTTATTTATTTATTTATATTGAGCAGGGGAAAGGAGCAAAAGGAGAGAGAAAAAGAATCTTAATCGTAAGCAGGCTCCATACTCAGTCTGAAACCTGATGCAGGGCTTGATCCCATGACCCTGGGTTCCTGACCTGAGCTGAAATCCAGAGTCAGACACTCAACCAACTGAGCCATCCAGGGCCCCCCCCAAAATAATTACTAGATAAAGAAATGAGCTAATTTGTGCCCATAGCTTTCCTTTTTAGGTTTTCTTTTCTCTTATTACTCTGAGTTAGGCATTTTGTGTCTCTCTCCCTTCCCTTATAATTTCCTACTGTCTTTAAGAAACATTATTCAGTACGCCAATGTATACTGTGATTTGAGGTGTTATCACTATTAAGGGCAGGAATGGCTCCATAATTTATGGTGTCCTGTGGAAATATAAAGCAGATCCCGTGTTCAGAACTTGCTGAGAATTTCACGGTAACAACATCGAAGCATTAATTTAAGCACAGGATCCTTGTGAGTGTGCTGGCATGGTACTCACATGCACAGGGGATTGAACTTTGATAGAAAGGCCTGAAGAAGATGAAGTTTAATCTAAAGCATGGGTCACTCACTGGAGGCAATCGCATATTCTGTCTTTATGCCAAAACTTGTTTTCATGCTCTATTTTGATTACAATAGAATGGAATACCGGATTACATTATAAAGATCTGCAGATCTGAAATTATGTGATTCAATTGGTACTGAAAATATTATTTTTATCCTCACATAGTAGAAGACTGCACTTAAAGCAATGCTTTAGGATGAAATATAGAGGTATTCCTGGGGGTAGAATTTGAACAGTGAGAATGAACAAGCTGTAACATGGAGGAAAATCTTGGACTACATTAATTCTATGAACCACACGGGAGGATTCAAAGGAAATTTCCACAGATCGGGCGAGTGAAGTCAAAGAGGAGGAAATTGCTGTTAATATTTAAGTAAATATGTGGGGACCTCTTAGGTTCTGGATTTTGCTAGTTATATTATTACTATTTCAGGGAATTTAGGATTGACCAAGTGGTCGTGATTTTCTTATGTGCTAGATGTTTTCTATATGTTAAATGTAAGCTATTTAGGGTGACATCTTAAACTTAAAAAAAAACCTCTAAATCTTTTGTTTTTCATAAAAATCTTACACTTAGGCCTGAGTTATCACTTACTGTGTTTAAGAGACATATATTAACTTTACTAAGCAGAGGATGAGGTACCATAAGGCAATTCTGCCTAATATAGTTAGAAAAGCATTTTTTTTAATGAAAGCCACATCTCTAGATATGCTTTTGAGGATTTTTAAAACTGAAATATAAAATATCTCAGGAAGGTAAATCCTAGTTTACAGAATTATTAATATTTTAAAAAGATAATGATTTGATTTAAAAAAAATGAAGAGAAAGGCTACATGTATTTATTTTGGAGTTTGCCTCATGCATTTGATTGAATAATAAAAACTGTGATATATGATGATAGATTATGTCTTATTTTCACATTAATTCATTATTAGTAGCTACTTTCATTCTGACTCTGCAAGCATTCAGATTGTTTTATTGTAAGCATTAGTTTTGTCTATTTAAAATTCATGTTTCTGGGGCACCTGGGTAGCTCAGTTGGTTGAATGTCCAATTCTTGATTTCGGCTCAAGTCATGATCCCATGATCATGTGATTGGGCCCTGTGATGGGCTCTGTGCTGAGCATGGAACCTGATAAAGATTCTCTCTCTCCTTTTGCCCCTTTCCCCCACTCATGTTTTCTCTCTCATTCTAATAATAATAGTAATAATAATAATAATAATAATAATAATAATTCCATGTTTCTTGCAGATTCTTCTACTGTTATTGTTCTGTATCTGGCTCCATGTCATATGGTGATGGACAAATGGGCCTTTCCCTTAGGGACCTTACAATCTAAGTTTTCATATTACTTAGTTATCAGGTGACTTAGAAATTAGGCACAGTTTATAGTGGGAAGGAAGCTCTACTTAAATTTGATCATATTTCTGTAGGAACTGTGAATGCTTTCTTTAATATTAGCCCAGGAAAGTTTCAGAGGAAAATGACATTTGAGTTAAATCTTGATAGAAATGGCATTGTGATAGGGATAGTGGAGGGAGGAGGGTACAGCTGGCAAAATATACAGGATGAAGAAAGTCCTGGAAATATTACATGATTCTTCATGTTCTGCTTTTACTATAGGATTGATAGTAATTGATATTAAGATAAGTTGTATTGGTTTATTTCAATTTTATTGCTATCATTATGGAAGCTATATTTTATCTAGTAGATAGCTTTAAAAAACACATTGTAGTAATTATAAATTTATCAGTTAAAAGTAAATATACTGAAATTTTCATTGTTACAGTTCAATTTTGTAAAATGAAGATCTTCCCCATACTTGCTGAAAAAAAGCATGTGAATTTTAGCCTAAAATCCCAGCAATAGTTAAAAC